TGTGCGTTTTTCATTAATATTTTCAACTTTAGATGGTTTTGACAGGATGTGAGGCCACCATAAGCCAGAGGACATCTGCTGTAAGTTAGTTTTTATCATCTTGAGACCAGCTAATCATTTGGGAAGATGCCTCCACCAGATTGGTCTGCAGGGCATTTTCTTGACTGATGATTGAAGGGGGAGGGCCCAGCCCATGGTGGGTGTGACCATCCCTGGGCAGGTGGCCCTAGGAGCTATAAGAAAGCAGGCCGAGCAAGACATGGGAGCTCCCCTCCAGGCCTTTGCATCAGTTCCTGTCTCCAGGTACTGGCTTCCCTCCGTAATGGACAATGAAATGAACCCCTTCCTCCCCAAGTTGCTTTTGGTCCTGGTATTCATCACAGCAATAGAAAGCAAATCGGACATTGTCTCAGCCAATGAAGGAACAGTATACAACACACATAAAGAACTCCTATGCTGCACACAAGAGCACAGGCGTTCACACCGAGGGAAGATGGTGGGGAAACAGCTGCTGGACCAGAGGATCTGGAAGAGGAAACTTCAGACAACATAGTGGTTCCCACCATGTGATGACAAAAGTTTCTGAATCATTGCTCCTAGTGTGTCCTCATAAGTCCACTCAGGACCTTTGCACAGGATGGACTTGAGGCTTCAGAAAGCCTACCTGAGTTCGGCCTTGGTTCAGAGTCTACTACCCCAAGTTCCTAGGGAGAAACGAGTCTCATCCTTCCTGCCCCTGAACAAGGAGAGCAGCACCCCCTGCAGATCCAAGGCCCAGCAACCCCCACCACGAGGTGGCTGTGACGGTAGCAGTCCTGGTAGCCTGAGCCAGCAGGGGCATCTGCCACAGTTGATGCAGGAGGGTCTAGTCTAGAGTTTGAGTCCAGCCTGGGCTACATAGTGGGTTACAGGTCAGCCTGGACTACATGAGACAGTAGTGCGCAGGGGAACCACAGCTGAGCCTGGGAAGAGGGCTCATGCTTGGTCCCAGGCTCCTCCCTCTCTGTCCCCTTGCCATGGCCTGGTGCCCTGTTTCCTCCAGAACACAGTGGTAAAGCCAACCTCCCCCGGCCACCCCAGGCGGTGTGATACATTGTGCCATCTGCAAACCGATACCAGCCTGCAGCCACTTGTGAAACCGGCTGCCACTGTTTCCGCCCATGAGAAAGTCACCAGGCAGGCTGCTAGGGGGAGTGACAGATGGGTGGATTAGCAGGACTGGCTCAGCCCTGTGCCTTAGTTTCCCCACCTATGAAGTCTCTGAAGCTCTCATAATCCCTAGAAGTCCTCCCATCCCTGGGGTGGGGGGAATCAAATGCCCTAGGCACTCAGACCCTAGCAGGGTAAGCTGCTGCTCTCAGAGAGGAGGACCCGACCCTACACACCTGCCTGTGGCCATGCCTACAGATCTCCCTACACCAGGGCCTTTGCACAGAGATGTCCTCGGTCGCCCTCCACTTATCCAGCCTTGGCCCCAAAGCTACCTCCACCAGGAAGCCCTCTTCATCTACTGACCCAAAAAGCCCCATTGTCTGACTGTGATGACGTGAAGCCACCCAACTTCAGTCTGTTCCTCAGGTACACACTATTTAAACCCCGACTGTGTGCCCCATGGACAGATTTCAGACTCCCTGTACTGGGGACATGTGAGAGGAAGATGTTGGAATTTGACTCAGGAGGGGGCCAGGGAGACACTCAAATGTCACTGCAGTACTTGGGCTGCGGTTGGTTGCTGGGAGTGTTAGAGAAGAGACTGGAGTTCTGCCGGTGAGGGTTGAGAACATGAAGAGACAGCTGTGTAACCCTGCTCACAGGGAGGCCAACAGCTCTGAGAGCCAGGGGCTGTGGAGATGCCTGGAGGGGTGGGGGTACAAGGTCAAGGGGCGAGCCCTGCATGTGTGTGTGCCGGGCCAGCTTGCAGGTTTTTCTGTGACCTCCACCTTTGTGCACACAGCTCCCCCTAGCCAGCCACGGCTGCTGTGCTCAGCCATGGGCAGGCTCCTTTACTCCCAGCAACAACACAGACACAGACACTGACACTCTTTACAGGGTGGAGAAACTGAGGCCCAGAGAGCAACAGTCAGGAATGGGATCCAGGGCTGCCACTGAGAGACACTTAAGGCTCTCCGTGGCTCCACCCACTCCTGGCCTCCTTGGAGTGACTTGGAGTCCTGGTACCCAGAGGACTGGAGAGTCAGAGTGAGACAGACAGACAGGCAGGTGTGCGGTGACAGCTGCACCTGCAGGCAGAAGCCCCACTCCACACCAAGGACTACTATCCAGGACGGTAGTGGCACTGAGTGGTGGCTCCCTCTGCCTGGCCCCTGTGTCCCCCCACATACCCCAAGTGTGTTAATGTCCCTATTTCTGTAATGGGTAAACCGAGGCTGAGAGAAGCCATGAGCTGGCCTGAGCCCTCTCTTTGAGAGGTTTGTTGACTGACTGTATGACCTCTTCCTCCAGGCCCCAGAAGGGAAGTGCTGTTACACTGGGGAGAAAGCCACTGATTTGCTGTTGCTGTCACAGGGAGGGTCCAGAGCTGGGTCAGCAGCCAGAGCACAGATCGCAGCCAGCCTGGGCAGGGCTGAGCATCAACCTCCATGGAAACCAAGGTGGGGACCGGCCATTAGCCTCCTCCCCACACTGTTTCAGTTCCTTCCTGGGCCACCATGCATAATGCTGGGAACAGCGGGTATGAGAGGTGACCGGCTAGGTAAGGCCTCCTGGAGCCCTGTCATGGTGGCCATGATTAAACTTTGATGACTCTGGAGGCAGAGACACACGGTGAGGGGTGGGGTGGGGCCACTCTGCCACCCCAGTCCCTGCCTAGAATCCCCCAGGGAGGGGTTGGGGGTGTGGCTCTATGTTAGAGGCAGAAAGGAGACCCTGGGTCCCGTCTGCAACAAGACAGGAAAAGTAAAGGGAAGGAGAGCAGAAAGGGAAAGCAAACGGCAGGGAGAACAACCGGCTCCATCACCACAGGCCTGACCAACAGGACGCACCTCGGCCAGGAGGCACTGCTACTGGAGCCCGCGAGCCGAGAGACAAAGTGTGCTCTAGGCACACAGTGGGACATCACTCAGCTATGAAAAGGAAGGAGGCGCTGGCGCCTGTCAATCACAAGGCGGTGATTGACAGCAGGCAGCACAGATCTTGGGTGTCTAGAACAGGCCCAGCCCCCGGCCCCATGAGAGCAGGGGCTCCGGAGCCGTGACAGCCGGGAGACGGGAACAGCTCAGGGGACAGGAATGTTCTGGAATTAGTCAGAAGTACTGTGTGCGCACCAAGGGAATGTGCTAAATGTCACCGGATTGTGAACTTTAAATGAGCAAGTGTGTGGTGTGTGAACACAGTATGACTAAAATTGAACAGCTCCAGAGCGCCGGTGCCGGGCACAGGCGGCAACCCCGGGACTGCTCTGTGACCCGGTCGCATGTTCCTGACACGTTCCTCAGAGCCCGTGGCAATCCACCCATCCTGGCCAGAGGGCAGAGACACAGGCTACTGGAAGCAGGCAGCCTGGGAGGGAAACTGAGGGCCAGGGGGCCGTGTTGTTGGCTTACAACAGTCCTGCCTGCACTCTGGAGGCTGAGGTAGTAGCGTGGTGAACTAGCCTGGACTGCGGCTCACAGGAATGTCACAAGCACCGGATCCAGGCCACCTCAGGCCGCCAAGCTTAAATAAAGCAAGGCCCACTGGCCTTGCTGACACTTGCTGCCCTGGGCCGTCCTCGCCGTCACGGCCACAGCATGTGGCCTCCGGGGTCCCCACTGCACCCTCTCACCGCCCAGCGTGGCTCCAGGCTGTTAAACTTAAGTGTGACGGCTGCCTCGGAGTTTGCCTGCACAAGACTGTGGGCTTCCGGTGACACACAGGCAGCCCTGAGCCACGCCCCAGCCCTCACTGGGGAATTCTAGGCAGGAGCTCCACCCCTGAGCCACGCCCCCAGCCCCTCACTGGGATTCTAGGCAGGGGGCTCCACCCCTGAGCCACGCCCCCAGCCCCTCACTGGGAGATTCTAGGCAGGGGCTCCACCCTGAGCCACGCCCCAGCCCTCACTGGGGAACTCTAGGCAGGGGCTCCACCCTGAGCCACGCCCCCAGCCCTCACTGGGGAACTCTAGGCAGGGGCTCCACCCTGAGCCACGCCCCCAGCCCTCACTGGGGAACTCTAGGCAGGGGCTCCACCCTGAGCCACGCCCTCAGCCCCTCACTGGGGGATTCTAGGCAAGGGCTCCACCCAGAGCCACGCCCTCAGCCCCTCACTGGGGGATTCTAGGCAAGGGCTCCACCCAGAGCCACGCCCTCAGCCCCTCACTGGGGGATGCTAGGCAGGGGCTCCACCCTGAGCCACGCCCCAGCCCCTCACTGGGGATCCCAAGCTGCGCCCCTGAGCCAAGCCGAAGTCTCTCTTGGACAGTAGATGCTGTGGTCACTTCCTGTTAACGGCAGGACGGAAAGTTTTGGTCACCGTGCATGGCCGGATGCAGGTGATTGGCTCCCCACCCCCAGGTCTGGTCTGACTTCGCCTGTCCCCCCCACCCCAGGCTGACTCCACGGCTGCTGGAAAATTCTCCCAAGCGCAGCAGTGTCCTCTGTTCACCCCCCTCCCCGTCCCAGGAGGAACCGCAACAGCTGGAGGGGCTGAGTGGGGATGATTATGATTGGGAGTTTGGGCCAGCCTGGGCTACAGGAACCGCGGAGTGGGGGACCGAGCACGGGACCATCCCCAGCCCCCGGGGCCGC